GGAAGTGTTGCATAATGGGCCTCCAGCACGCATAATTTTCAATTTTGCATGAAGCACGGTCGTTTCTCTGATGAGCGATGATTCACCGAAAAATACAAATTTTACGATGCATAGGACATCGGAAGAGAATTACAAATCCGTTTTTCAGTGTGCGATAAAACTGAGTATTTGTCATACCCGCGTGCAGAGGATTTCGCCTCCAAACTGAATTAAGACACATAAACACAAAAAATCTCTGCAAAGTTTCGACTTCGTAACTTATCCGGCAAGCGAAATCATCTTATCGCTACAAATATGTTTGATGTGCCCTAAAAGCATAACTCGAAGTTTTATTTAGTTTTATGATTTACCAGAGGGCGATAAGTATCTCAAAAAAAAATTTCTGCTACTGTTTACTGGTTAGATTTCGAGTTGCCACAACGGCACTGTGAACTTTGATATGACAGTGCGTGCAGTGCAAACAGTGCGCGATAGCTGAATTTGAAACCTTTAGCTCAAGTATGCACAGAGAATATGCTTGCTGTAAAGTTTTAGCTATTTATCTTATCTGATTCTCCAGATCATTTCCCGCCAAAAAATTTGCGCATTTCTTAGGGCTTCCGCACGCGGGCCTCAAGCGTGCGCGAATGTATTGCTAAAATGAGAGAAACGCACGTGGGACGGGTACTTGCTTCCGAAATTTCAGCTTTCTAGCTTTTGTGATTCTCAAGTTAAAGTAGGTGAAAAAAACAGCGAACATACACACACACACACAGACAGCTTCTTGGCAGTATACATGTCTGCACTTGCATAATATGCAAAAACTTAAAAAAGCCATCCAGAAAATCGGTGTGTGAACATTATGTTAGTGATTTCCACGTACGTGGAATAGCCGTGCCAAGCCCTTTGACTCTGGATCACATATTTTCGGTTAGAACCTACTGCCTTCCGATATACGTGTGTCACCTTGAACAGTTATTTCCTGGCACGTTCCAACCACGCTCTGCTGTCAGAATGGCACGCAATATGCCTTTGCCCATCGGATTTTACTTTCCATCTTTGCAATCTCCTTTCCACCTTTGCAATCTTCTGTTCCTTTCAGTCCTTCTTCCTCTAATGCTCTTCTACTTTACATATATGTTATCAATTTTTCCAAATGGTAGATTGGGGGCTGTACTGACGATTCCTACCCCAATCCACACCGAATACTGTGTGTGTGTTTGCAGCTTAGGGATGAAACACGGACAGCCAAGTTTACATTTAGCCTTCACACAGGTCCTCATTTCATCTCCTGAACACTTTTTTACAACATATGTTCTCCACTATCTCTTTCACTTCTTGTTTTCTTGGTCTTCCCTTCCACTCCTCTTGTAATGGCAATAACGCGCTGCTCCAATCACGGAGTACTTAGACATGGAACAGAGAATGCTGGTAACGGATGAGGCGATAGGCGCCGGTTTGAGGCCTTCATGTTAGCCAAAGCCGAGGTCAAGCAGAGATCCACTCCAAGCATTTTCTCCTCTTCCGTTCTCCACCATAATCAATATCGACCACTTTCGTCAGTGTGCGCTTCTCGAATCCGTGTTTGTCTTCAGAAAAATGGCAATGAAGAGGTCCGTTTCGACACTCTGAGGTCTTCGTCAGTGTGTTCCAGAATTAGCGCCAACCAACATTTCCATTACGTGGGAACTGTAGCTCGAAACTGTGGAGTATATTTACTTGCTGGACAAGAAAGACGTGTCTCTCAACTTCTTCCAAGTCAAAACCATCTCTATGCAATCTGGCTGCCAGTATAAAACAGACACTAAAATATACAGAATAAAAATGAAGCAACCAGTGATAATGCGATTTGCTGACCAAAGATCTGTTTTAGTGCTGAGTACTTATTTTCTTTTGTAGAAAAAATGATAGCCAAAAATTTCTTATTGTAAAAAATCGCTTGTCGTCGTCTTACATAATAACGTTTTTTCCTTCTAACCAAACTTCAAGCTTTTTAGGCTGATCATAATTTCGTAAAGAAAACTGACTACTAATCATTATTTTTCCCTTTTGGGTCATGATCTCGATATTCCGATTACATACTATGACCACCAAGATAAAACAGTATTTCAATGAATTTAGTGCTTCGTCCTAACTGCCTTATCTATCCCTTTTCAATAACATATTTTTTAAATTAAAATCAAATTCATGCTGATTACCACAATCGTCGTACTGACGAGGTCCAGTTTCGTGGTAATAGTAAGAAATGTATACGACTTAATGGGCCGAAACATTTGTTAACATTAAAAATAATTTTTAATACATTTAAAATTTCCTATTAATTTCTTCTTTTCAACATCAAAATATTTTGTTACCTTTCTACCTCTCCCCCATTCTCACTGATGCCACAAGTGCTACATCCAACGGCAGCAGTAGAAACCTGTTCCACCAAAGCCATCCTGCACTAAAAAGCTTAGCCTCCGTTCAGAACTCCCACGCACTTTGATGATACCTGCACGAACTGTCGCCTAATCGTAGTACTACACCTTTACGCCAACAAAGCAACCAGCACTGTGCAGGGAGAAAAACAAATAATTGGCTAACGCACAGGCTGCCCGTGCGAAGATGCGTTTTTCGCATAGTTCTCCGCAGTTTTTGTCGCTACCGGTACCGTCTTCTTCGGCAAATGCTTCTTGCTAAACAAATTAAGACAGCCCACTGGAACTGTCAGCAAACACCCCCTTAAGATTTCAGCTTTCTAGCTTTCCTGGCTCTTGAGTTAGTAACTTACTGGGAGAAAACTTTCACGGGCCAGTACGTAGGTGCCACGCATACCCGATCTCTGGGTTTGAGCTTGTTGAGAGTTACGTGGACGAGGAAAATCCCCTTAAAATTTCAGCTTTCTAGCTTTTCTGGCTTGCGAGTTGGTGGCTCACCCGCAGAAAACTTTCATGGGCCTGTACTTGGTTACCACGCGGGTAGGACCGCTCATTTTGGGAATGCGGCCCGCTCATACATATAGACTAAGTTCCAAAGTTTTTACCCTGTAGCTTTTGTAGGTCTCCAGATGAAAAATCGGTACAGAAGGCCACACACAGACACAGACACAGACACACACACACACAGAAAACCTCTCGTCAATATGCTTTTTCCGCATTGCATAGCTGCAAAAAACGCACAAAAATACCTGTTTTGAAAGTATAAATATACAGGCATTGATGTTGTGCAGCACGGCAATAGTTGCTGCATTCAAAGCCAAACTCTCATCCAGCAATTCTGTTGCTTTTGCACTTTCCCTGCTGCTCCTGTTCCTGGCCACTAGCTTCTCCAGCCTGCTCATTTGTCGTCCAATCATCGCACTATAACGTTTCAGCTCTTCCACTTTACTGTTCAGTTCTAGCTGAAAAAAGGCGGATTGGAGTTCTTCACAGCTGAAATGCTAAAATATCACTAGCTTGTCTATAAAACTTCTAAACAGCCTGGTAGCTCAAGTGATAATTCATTACGCAGAATGAGGTTTGCGAATAGGGAGCAGCGAAAAAATACGCCAAAAAAAAGTCAAAAATCTTTTCAGTATGTTACTTTGTACGGGCAGCGACAGCAGCAGCAGCAGTAGTAGTAGCAGCAGTAGCAGCAGCAGCAGTAGTAGTAGCAGCAGTAGCAGCAGCAGTAATATGTTATTAAACGATGATGTTAGGTCCTCACGTGGTCCTTGACTGCAGCAGCGGAAAACAGAGAAGAATACCAGCACTTTATTTTTCCAACAAGAGCTTCGCTTCAAACAAAATGACGAGTAAAACGATGAGCCGGGGCGTCGCACAAGCTGTTCAGTAGAAGGAGGACGCTGGTAGTGTTAAAGCGAGACGATAGCAGCATTAGTAGTGGCAGAGCGTAGCAGACGAATCGCGCTTCTTGATTTCCAAAACTACGGATCTGGGTTTTAGGAAGGGGTTTATATACGGAAAATTAATGGAGGGAAAAGGAGGGTATTTAGTTAGTGATTGAGAAGGTAGATAATATGGAATTATTTAGAATTTGGTGGAACTGTTAGAAATTAGTGAGTGGAGGGAAATAAGCTGAAGTATTAAGGATTAATGAAAGAAGAGGAACAGGTGGAATTATAGGGTTACAGAGACGCACACAGGTGAAGCGAGATCGCTGATGAAAAACGAAAGCAGAAGAGCAAGTACTAGCTGTGTTGGACAGAATGTCACAGCTCAAACAATAAAATGTCTCTTTTTAATTACATAAACAAATGACAGGCCCCATCAGCTAAGTAACATAAAACCTTTCGTTGCGAGTGTGCGGAAACTAAAATTTGATGGAAGGGGATAATTTTAAATGCTTTGATGGGAACAAGCAAACGTCACGTATCAGTGAGTGGTATCCGCCAAGAGGACGACCAAATCGAGTGGTCCTAGAAGAGATGACGTGCGTAAATCGAACACGGGAGGTAATGAACGATTTGACAGGCAGCTCTGAATCCAATGGCCCGACATGCGGCAAATGCTGTTGTAGATGCACCGGAGTAACATCAAAGACCATCCGGCACTACATGGGCCTCAGGGTGACCCGAGATTCCCACCCCTAATCACACCTTTAGTTGTCTATGTTTACAGCTAAAGGATGAAACACAGACAAATACTCCTGCATATTCTCAGCACATGCGCCATCAACATATCACTTTGTTTATAACACGTGTTTCTACTTCCAATTAGGTTGCAGCCTCCAGGTCAATTCTGGAGGTAGAGATGATGGGATGTAGAAGTAAACAAGAGTAGTGTAGGTCGGGAGTAAGAATGAGTTAAGAAGTTTCGGTCCTTTAAGTCATATACGTCTTAACCCGAACTTTCTCCTCCCCTCCCCCTTCTCCCTCCCCTCATTAGCTTACTTCACATGAAATATTAAACTCGAATCTTCCCATTCCCTTCTATTCGTGAAGTAAGCGAAAACAGCACTGAAATGATCTGTGTAAATTACTGTTTTAAATTCTTCAAATCGAAGAAAAAATAACCGAAAATGGTGACTGCTCGAAGTCTGCGTCGCCCGACGAATTACACGCCTTCAGATTGTTGATTTTTTCGACCTGAAGATTACTC